ACCGCGGCAGCGAGATCTGTGAGCCAGGGACGGGCAGGGATGGGAGAGCCGAGCGCCGGGCAGGCGCCCAAAAGCACTAGGGTGCTTTCAGCACACGGAGCTTGGCCCAGCTCAGCCCCGAGCCAGCTGCCAACAGCAAGGGCCACAGTGAAGCGAGCGCCTGCCCCTCGCAGAGGGACGGGCACCAAGGCCCTGCAAGCCTGCTCCATACCAGGACCTCTCCCTGCCCCAGACACGTGCTTGGGACAGCACAAACAGGGAAGAGAGTAGCAAGCGCTCCCCAAGAGCGCTGACGCTTCTCCCAGAGGGACACGGAGAGAGCTTCTTCGGGAACATGCAAGACATCTCGTATCGGTGTGGTTTTAATAGCAGAAGCTCAAACACACGGTCAACAACAAATGCAGCTGACAGACAGCACCGCATCGGGGGAAACCGAAATCCAGAGCGAGGCAGGGCTCTGCCAAGCTTCAGACATAATACTGCAAGCCGAACTTCTCGTTGTCCATCTCGCTGGCCGGCCGCAGGTAGTAGAGCTCGTCTAACGTCGGGGGGACCCAGCGGTCGGTGTGAAACACGGACTCTCCAACCTGGAGAGCGAGAGAGCCGGTGAACAGGCCGCGCCAACGCGCTCCGACCGCACGCGGGCGAGCGGCTGTGCCGGTCCACGAGCTCCAGAAACAGCTACCTCCGGGCAAGTTAACTTCCCGGTCAGGTCTACGTTGATGATGTCAAATATGAGCCGCTCCCAAGGGAGCCCTCGCAGGTGTCCAACGGACCCATCAGGGCACAAGGCCACAACAGGAGCCCCAACATCCACGTGCTGCACCCCACAAGCCTTGATTTCTTGTGCAGGCTGCTGAGACCCCCAGCCCCCGCCGTGAGCAGCGGGAAGGCCGTCTCCCCGCGCCTCGCACCCCACGCCGGCACGGCTCAGCTCCACCACTCAGTTTGGCCTCTTTTGCTCTCGTTACCACCTGATAAACCTGGCAGGACACCTGGGTCCTGGGAGATTTCTTCAAGCACAGATGATCTGAGCTTGCAGAGCAAACACAAGACAGACCAAAACCCACCCAAGGGGCCAGTTCCTCGCCCGGTAAGAGACGCTGCTTTGAGGGACATCCCAGGGCAGATCCCAGCGCTCCTCCATTCACTGCCCCTTTGCTGCCTGCTCTGGCCCCTTTCTTGTGGCGTCTGCGAGTTACAAACCTGCCACCCAGGAACGTCCTTCATGATTTTGGCCTCCTCGTCCAGGTTCTGCCGTAGCAGACGAAGGGTCCTGTAACAGCGGGAAAGGTTGTCCCCCGATCGCGAAACCGCGCGTGCAGCACGCTGCGCGGGGAGTTAAACCTCAACCAAGCCGCAGCCCCCACGTCTATTCTCCAGAGACCACGCGACGGTCCCGGCTAAGCAAGAGGCCAGCGCTGCTTTCCACCTAGACTGAGAAAGCCACAGAGGGCAAGAGCTGCGCTGGGAGACCGTCAGCAAACCCCGCTCGCTCTCCAGGGCGGACG